GGTAGGTTGAAAACTAAGCCAATAAGTTGGCCACATGTCACCCATTTTGGCCATTTGTGATATAAAGTAGCTATGTAGCACACATGTAAGAATTTTTTTTTGTAAATTAGACACATGTCTTATAAGTTGGATATATATTGGAGGTCTTATAGAACATTGTCATATAGCTCTTAGTTAGTTAACATATATAAAAATAAGAATAATATCTTTTTTATTATTGTAAATTCTTTTCATGCTTCTAATCTAGTTTTAAGAATTTTTAGTTTCTTAATCTTTGACAATATTCATTCTAGTTTCTTCATAAATATATTTATTTACTTATTTATTTATTTTTATTTTTTTAGAAAAAATTTACTTATTTATTTATATTTTTTGAATTCTTTTTAATAAAAAATTAATAAGAATATACTAATAATATTAGAGCTTTTTCTTTTCTTGATTAAGAGTGGATTATTTCTTTTTCTTAATAAGACATAACTATATTAAAAGTTGTCGATTATCTATGTCTAAATTTATGTTGCTCTTAGAATTTTCTTTATTCTTAAATCTTTTTTACTATTTATTATGAGTGATATTAGATATCTTTATTTTTATTGTATTATTTATGAAAAAATTTATTAAAATAAAGAATGTAATGATAAAAATATTAAAAAATATATATATATCAAAGTCAATGCTTGAAATACTATAACTCAATTTACCACCACAAAGAATAATAAAATTGATAAAAAGTAAAGATATTGAAATGATTGAAGCTTCTTCAATATCTATACCAAATCATATTATTTTTATACAATAGAACATTGTTCAAGTATTAAAAAACCAATAGTTATCTTGTATTAGAAGTTTGATAGTATAAGATCAAAGTTTTTAGAATTTATCAATCAAATATAATTGGTAATTAAAATTCAACTTTAAAACTAGGCAACTTCAAGATCATAAGTTAAGTTTATTGGAATTCTACTTTTAGGTTTTATTTTATTATAATTTTTATCTTTTTTTGAACAACTTGATCAAATATTTGATAATTTGAAGACTTTTTTAGTAAAGTTTCAATCCATGGATAAAAAAATGATGCAATTTATATTGCAACCAACAAGATTTGTATTTTGTGACATAAAAATTAAACAATAATGTTATATATTTTATAATTTCAATAACTTGTAATTAATATCAAATAAAATAATATTATACATATCAATCAATTTTTTATAAATTATAATATGATGTAAAGAAATTGATGTTAAACTTACTTGACATTTAGATATTGAGGTAAGCAATTGACTTAGTTGTGAAATGTGAATATTAATTTTTTGAATTTTAATGTGAGAGTTACATAATTAGGCCTTAGTAATTTTATTGTTAAATAATAATAAAAATATCTTTTCAATACATAGAGAAACAAGATTGGATTATTTCTAAGATCTAAGATCCTTTCAATCCATAGCAATATAAATTTTTTCATAATATAGAATATTATAGATAAAAAAAAATTAAACAAAATTAAATATAATAGAACATAAAAGGTATAACAAAGCAAAAGAGAATAAAATAGAATTGAATAGAAAAGTACAAAATCAAATTTTATTAAGAGAAAGGAACCAAAGTCATATTTGACAAAATATCTAAATGATCTTGGCTAGTCTTATTTGTACTTTGTCCAACCAACTTGGAGCTTTTTAGAATATTTCTAATAGTGGGGTTCATTTAGATAATTGTCCTAAGTCCTTTCTAGAATGTTCCACAATGTATCCTACATAAACTACCAACCTAGCTTCATTTCTAAAAACTTCTAAAAACTTCCCAAATATGGCTCCAACTACCTATCTCTACGCATCAATAATATGAATATCTTATCAATATCTTATTACACATTCATTTTGAAGTGAAAGATATGCAAATTAATATAGTATATTTTAAATATCTTATTGAGCAAGAAATAATTTATCATCATTAAGAAATATTGTGTTTATATTATAGAAAATCTAATTACATTGCTTTATTTTATTTAAAGAAGTGATACAACTACAAAATGAAGAATATGGTTGTTAAAAAAGATAATATGTCAAAAAATAAGTTTTTCTAGTTAATATCAAAATTATGTGGCTTGAATCTTGTACAATACCTAATAAAGATCCTATTTTCTCTTCAAAATATTTTCTTTGTTTAATGATTGATATATTTTTAGAACCTAAATTCACAAAATCTTTGCTTTATTAGATTTAAGAACCTTAATTTTTTTTTTAGATAAATATTTTCTTAAAAGACATAAGATATTTTTATAAAATAAACTAAATTCTTACATATAAAAATTATAGAATATATTTTATAAAATAAATTAAATTTGTACATATAAAAATCAGAAATAGCTATTTATTTATCTTTAGATATGTTGCATATAAAACCTTTTTTTTTATAGAATTAGCAACTAATAATCATAATAAATTTGTTATATTTAATATTATTAGATCTTTAGTAAATCAAATTATTTTAAGTTTATAATGGCTAAAAAAATATAATTCTTAAATAGATTAGAAACCTTATAGTCTTGATTTTTTTCAAAGCATAATTAAGATTTTTATTAATCAAGTGAAAAGTCATTAATTTTATATAATCAAATCCTTATTTATAGGTGAAAAAGCTTTCATACATGGTATCAAAGAAAGATCACCTTATAATATTTATGCCACATCTATTTATAATAGTGGAAAGACTTCAAGTGGCATTTTAAACTAATATTAAAATTATCAAGATGTTTTTAAGAAGTTAAATGCAAATATTCTTCTAAAATTTTGTTTTTATGTTTGTTCAATTGACCTTTAAGAAAAAATTCAACTACCATTTGGATTAATCTATAATTTATCATAAAATAAGTTGGTTGAATTAAAAGAATACAATGATGAAAATATGACTAAGAATTTTGTATGCCATTCAAAATCTCCAACATAAGCTCTTATTTTATTTGTGAAGAAAAATGATGGATCATTTCAAATGTGTATAGATAATTGAAGACTCAATAAGATTATGATAAAAAAATAAGTACCTTCTATTCTTAATACCAAGACTTTTTGATTAATTGAGATAAGTCAAGATCTATACAAAAATAGATTTATAAAGAGCGTATAACTTGATATGCATTAAAGAAGAGAATGAATAAAAGAATGTATTTCAAATCAATTATAGATATATTGAATATAATATTTTATCTTTTGGACTTATAAATGTACTAATAATTTTTTAATATCTAATGAATAATATCTTTTGAAAATTCTTAGATGATTTTATTATTTATTATTTAAATGATATTTTAATCTATTTTAATAATACAAAAGAACATAAATTTCATGTTTGTTGCATATTTTGCAAACTAAGAGGTACAAAATTATACATTAAGATAAAAAATAAAAAATAAAAATGTATATTTTACACTACTAAAGATAAATTCTTAAGATATACCATTTTAGATGATGGTCTCATAATAGATCTTAAGAAAATTTAGACTATCATGGATTAGAAGATTTCAAGAATAGTAAGAAATGATAAATGTTTTTTGAGATTTGTCAATTACTATTAGATTTTTATCAAGAATTTTTCTTAAGTTATATCTCCACTTACATATTTTATATGTAAAGATAAATTTAGGAAGAATAAAAAGGCTGAAATTACATTTGAAGCTTTGAAAATAGTTTATGTTTTTACACCAATCTTATATTGTATTAATTTTTTAAAGTATTTTTTATGGAATAAAATGAATTAAACCTTATTTTTAATATAATATTAACACAAATGGAAGCAAATAATAAACTTCACTCAGTAGTTTTGAATTCAAAAGAAATTTTAGCAACTAAGATTGACCACAAGATCTCAACAAAGAATTTCTTGTTATTATAGATTTATTTTAAGAATAGCATCATAATCTAGAAGAGAATTTGAATCTAGTGACTATATATATATATAAATCATAAGAACTGCAAGTATTTTATATCAATACTTGTTTTAAATTATTAATAATTTTATTGAAGTATATCTTTGTGAAGATTTATATTCAATTATACTTATTAGCCAAAAAAATAATAAATTTTGTCAGATGTCTTTTTAAGACATTCTTATCTTAGGCCAAAAGAAAGAGACGCAACTTTTGATCAACAAAAAACTATTCTTTTGAAGTTAGAGCAATTTCATCTTCAAGTAATGAAATCAATATTGATTATTGATTTGACCTTTTTTGACTAAGTTTAATAAAGTATATTCTCAAATCTTCTTCTTTATGATATCAAGTAATTTTTTTTAAAATCTCATGATACTTCCAAGTTTATATCCATAAAAAATCTATTCTATTTAAAATAATATTTATATATTTCAAAAAATAAACTACAATTATAAATTCTTCAAGCTCAATACAACTTTGTAGTTTTAAAGTATTTTAGATGCAACAAAACCTTAAAATTAATCATAAGAGATTTTTGGTGGCCTCAAATATAAATGCAAATAGAGACTTTATTCAATCATATAT